AATACAGTTTTTTCAAATATTAATTCATTCATTTTAGTTTTTTTAGATATAAGTTGCATGTATCTAATAATAGATGTCACCAGATGTAAGAGGAAAATTTCAATTTTATTTGTAAAGGAATTTTTCTACAATATAATGAAAAAAAGCAGGAATTGACTTAAATTTTTTTTTTTTTTTATAATACTTGTTCCTGATGATTTTTTTTTCTTTATTCAAAACACTCGTGGAAGAGTTAAGCTTTAATTTACTGCGATTTGGTGTATAAATCTATTTTAAATATTCAAATAACTGAGACAATTTATAAAATCATCTTACGGCATTTTATTGCTCCTAGGTATGAAATTATATCCATTCCCATTATCACTTGAAATTACTTATGGATGAAAAAATGAATCTTATAAGAACCAGAAAATTTTTTTCTTTATAAAATATAAAACTTATAATTGGAAAATACAGTGTTTTGTGTCTGATAATGTATGCTTATAATTACTTTTCTATTTTAAACATAAGGATTAATAGTTTAGTAATGTATAATTTAGCAAAACAGTTGTAAATAGTAACCATTATTTATTTCTGTGTTTTTATCTTACAAATATCGTATTCTATTTGAAGCTTACTTTTAAAAAAGCAACAAAGCTTTTCATAGCATTTTCCTGTCCCCTGTCAAATGAAGTTTTAATAATTAGTTAAAGTATTTATCGTGCTTAATAAACATGCAGTTAAACTTATATATGTATGCACTGAAATCAACATAGAACTTTCGCTCACACTGCATTGATTCTTTGTGACTTTTTCGCCAAAAATTAAACCCATATCGTTGCATAACCATCGTATTCACCTGATTTAGAACCGTGCGACTTCTGTCTATTCTCTTAACTCAAAAGGCTCCTCCGGGGACACCGTTTTGAGTCGATTGAAGCGATTCAACGTGAATCGGCGTGCGCTTTATAGGTCATCAAGGCCAATGCCTTTTTAGCATGCATTGATGATTGGAAAAAACGTTGGCATAAGTACATTGTGTCCGGAAGGCAATGTACTTATGGCCTTTGAAGGCAATGAAATAAATTTGAAAGAATAAATATAGAGTTTTTGAAAAAAATAAAAATGGGTCTTACTTTTTGGGCACAGTAGTATCTGAATTGCTAGTCTTAAATTTGGTGCCCGTTTCTAGAAGAAACCCCCTTTTTTGGAATATGGATGTTAGTTAAACTATCTCTAGTGAAATGAGATAATGTTTAGAGAATGAAATCCGAAGTGGTTTAATAGATGTCATTACCTCAAAGAATTACGATCATCTCTTATCCCTTTTGGGATTTAATCAAATGTCTTCTAGAAGAGGCAGAGTTACAAGGAGAAGAAATTAACTCTAATGGTCTCATAAGTAGAAATTACTTTAACAAGTAAGCGTTTTAATGCAACGTAGATGCAGAGAATCTTTAGTTAGATACTACTGTGTCCAAAAAATATGACCAGTTTTCCATTTAAATTTCCCGGGCATATGGTATTTCAATTTTTTTTTTCTCTTTTAGGTTGTTGGCACTGTCCTTGACATTTGTGTGAAATTTTACTTCAAAATATTCATTAGTACTAGAGTTTTTGTGAAATGCTAAAACTGATACCGGCGAATAAAAAATAAAAATGGGTCTTACTTTTTGGGCACAGTATTATACTTCAAAAAACGTATCTTTTGTAAATTCATGGGGAGTATTTTAAAAAATACTGCATTTTAAATATTCTGTCATTTTGAATATTTTCCCTATGAACAGAAGCATGTATTTTTTTTTTTAATGTTTTTATATAAAGTCATTTTAAAATAAATTAATTTAGTTAGAGAAGATTTAGCATGATCTGCCAAGCCATTTACTAAAATTTTTCATTTTTTTGTCCCCTGTCAAATGAAGTTTTAATAACTAATTAAAGTATTTATCGTGTTTAATAAACATGCAATTTAACTTATATATTTATTCGCTGAAATCGACATGAAACTTTCGCGATATTTTACTTTATAAAGTGCTTAACTTGAGCCGCTTTGAAGAGTTTACAATTGTTCACTTCAACGTAATAACTCTCGGATTCTTCTCCATTTATTTAAATGAGAAATATGGATACTGTTTCAAACGGATATTGGAATATCAGGATGGATGCACGGTAATGGACTAAAATCATCCAATTGAAATTTCATGATACGAAGTGCTTGCGAAGTAATGAATACGAAACGAAAGTTTATTGTAAAATGAGAACCATGTATTTTATTATTATTATTGAATACGTCATTGAGGCTAGTTTTAGAATTAATAGTTTCATTGATGGGAAAATGGTTGAATCCCATGCAGCCCTAGCTATTCTGTATAAGTTCAGGAAATATATATGTATTGTTATCAATGTCAAATCCAGCAGTTATATGTTAAAGTCGAAGTTTTATGGGAGCATTTAATTTATTAGCAAACATGTATTTAGTCTACATTTGAAGCTTCATTATCAGAAAGAGCTGCATTAAATTTTCATTAATGCCAAAATGCTTTTTTAAAACATTAAAGAAAAGTAAGTGAAAAACTTTCATTCCAAAAAGAATATTTTAAAGCTAATTAAATTATTTTAAATTATTGACTAATGCTGTATTATATTTCTCATTGACGTTGCGTTGTATCTCTCATTGACATATGTTGGATTATTATCTCATTGGCTTTTATGTCTGACATACATTTATATATACTATTTCTCATTGATTATTTTATTAGCAAACATGTATTTAGTGTGCATTCAATTCTTCATTATTAGAATGAATGAATAAAGGTTTCAAATTCTGAAAAAAAAATTCAATGGTTACCTTAAAAACTGAAGCTATTTAATGTAAAAATTAAACTAATTTTATTTCTTTAAAAATAGTTTCATTTCAATATTTAATTAAAAGTTGCGCTAATTTTCTTATTGTAAATGAATAAAGGTTTCAAATTCTGAAAAAAATATTCAATGGTTACCTTAAAAACTGGAGTTACTTAACGTAAAACTGAAACTGATTTCATTTTTAAAATTAGAAAACAGTGGTTTAATTCAAAATTATCTAAAACTAAGATGTAAAGTACATATTCCTCTTTAAGTCTGCATTTATCACGCTTTTTATGATTGTTCATCATTATTTTATGATTCAGAGAGTGAACACAAATTTTGGGGCTTTGCGAAAGGTATAATAAATCCAATGCTTTCTGCAATACCTCTGTTATAAATCTCAATGTTAAACTTCATTGTCAGAAGATTAATATGCATGAAGCTGTATCTTAAAATGTTAATTCCTCTATGCTCTTCCGCAATGTCATTACTTACGTCACATTTATTAAGTTTATAATTCAAACAAATTTGAGACTGTACATCATTTACACATAAGTGTCGTAAAGTGAATGGAGTTTTCAAGTGTAATCAGTGAAATACTTTATGACATTGATTAGATGAAAATTATACTTTATCAAAACAACTGATATTTGTTTTAATTTAGGATTTAATTCGAGTGTTAGCTTCAGTTTTCAGGAGATTAAATATATTGTATTTGAGAAATAATATTATGTATAAAATATTACGTTTTAGAGAAGAACATAATGTAGGAAAACTCTGGGAGTTTTAAAATGGCCTTGTTTACAGCAATAAATGATTTATACGTTTCTACTTATGTGGATTTGGCTTGGCGCCCTACTGTAATTTTGTGCACACTTTGGGCTAGTTAGATCGGAACCTACAGTTTAACTTGGATTCCGAACCATTAATAAATATCCATACCACCTCCAGAATTCGAACCTGAAGCCTGTGGTACAGCTAGAGCGCTAGCCAATTGGACATCAGGTGGCTCTACTTATGTCGGAACATTATCAATTTAGGTATAGTTCAAAACGTTTGTCGCAATTAACAGTGAAAATGTCTTGTTTTTATACTTAAAACTAAAGAAATATTTATCTTAAATTGTTCAACATGCAACAATATTTCAAATCAAATATCTTACATTAACAAGAGATTTCACATGAGCTCAACAACAAAATTATTATTGAAATAATTTAGATTCTACAAAAGTAAAATTTTAATATACAATGATTTCGTTCTTTGATGAGGCACACAATATTATCACTGTGATAAGTACGAAGTCTGAAGTCGTTGCCTTAATTACAGCAATTAAAAATTTATATACTGCCACATAATACATTTTTTATCGTCTGATTGATTTCATATTCTCATCTCATGTGACACAAACATGTAGTTCCTTTTAAACTCTGTAAAAAAACCATTAGTATTCCAAAAGAGTAGTAGTAGTGGTCCAAATAGTGAAGTATTAAGACATGCACAAAACAATAGGCGTAATCAACAAAAATATATGGAAAAAAAAGAAATAAAACAAGTATATAAAATTTATATTTTCTGTTATAAAAAATTAGTAGACTTGATGGTCATCGTGACAGATCATTTCTCATCTACAACTAGATTGTCTTGATGCCCTTCTTCTAATACGAAACTCGAATTCCTAATATTTACAGGTTAAAATTCACACTGATGGCAATACTTACTTTTAATTTTAATGGGTGTAGTGTAGCTTAAAGCCAGTGGTGCATCGTGAGTTACTCTGAATTTGCTATTAAGCTTATTTGCTATTATGAATGCTTTGAATGCTTTTAATACTTGTTTTGTATACTTTGCTATTTTAAATGCTTTGAATTACTCTGAATTTGCTATTGTGAATTGCTCTGAATTTGTTACTGTGAATTGCTCTGAATTTGTTACTGTGAATTGCTCGAATTTGCTATTATTATCAATATCAGTTGAACGCCAGTGATGCATAGTCAGTTTCTCTGAATTTCCTATTAAGCCTTATCAATATGATTTGAACGCCAGTGATGCATAGTAAGTTAATTTGCTATTAAGCCTAAACGCGAGTGATGCATAGTGAATTACTCTACATTTGCTATTACTCCTTATCAATATCAGTTGAACGCCAGTGATGTATACTGAGTTACTCTGAATCTCATGCTGAATATACTGGTTCTCGTTAGATCACCGAAGTTAAGCATCATTGGGCGCGGTCAGTACTTGGGTGGGTGACCATACTGCGTGCCGTTGGAATTTGGGACCTGAATGGCCGAGTGTCTAGCGCTCTGGCGCTCGGTGCCACAGGTTTGGTTCGAATAGCAGTGCCATGGATGTTTGTAGTGGTTCGAATCCACTTTAAGCCGTAGGTCCCGGTCTCCTATGACTGTAAGAGCGTCACGGAGCAAAAGTCAGGCACCTACGGGTGAGAAGCTGCTTCCTTCCCCTTCAATCATGAATTCGTGGGCTTGGCCAGCCAAGTGGGATAAGAAACAACAACAAACAACTCTGAATTTGCTATTAAACTTTATCAATATCAGTTGAACGACAGTGATGCATAGTGAGTTACTCTGAATTTGCTATTAAGCTTTATTAGTAGCCAATGACTTTCTATAGTGCCCTGCACTGAAAAAAAATTATAATACCCCTTCTAGGAAACAAAGTACCTGGAAATCAGAATTTAAATTTAACAGAAATGAAAAATTTATTTTTCATTTTTTTTAAGGAAATTAATATCTCCATCGGTTTGATTCTAAAACAAAATTGCATCGGTTCTAAGTAAAGTTTTCTGTAAGAACACAAATGTGGAGAGAAATCGTTGTTGAAATGCGATTAGTATTCGGGAAGCCTTATCGACATATCGACCGTTTAACGGTCGCCAACTTCCGTTAATTTAGTTACAGATACTTTAAAAAAAGAGCAATTCAAGCCCCTTCTTCCTTCACTTTTCTTTAAACTTTTTTTTCTTCCATCCTAAACAAAAATGCAAAGCTCCTTTCTTTATAAACGGAAAAAGGAAATGCAAACAAAGGACAGAAAGTATATCTGAACGAGTGTCTTCAAATTTTTACGAATAGAAGAGGAAGGAAGAACGATCCAGTTAGAATTAAGTTTAGGTCGCGATCGCGGATCGATTTTTGCAGTTGCTGGAGGAGACAAATAAGCAGATGAAGAAATGCCTTATAACAAAAGGTAGCTCATTAATAATTCAAAAGAAGTAAATTACATTCCGGCACTGAATATAAATTCAAGTTTCAAATTAACAGATGGGAATAAACTATTTTTTTCTTCCAAAACTGTGATGATCTAGAAGAATTCAATCTTTATGAAATATGAAGCTCTTATTTTCACAGCAAAAGTAAAGTAAAAAAAGCATCTGTTTCTGCTGTTGCTCACATCATTATGGTATTACATATTTTAAAGTTATGTATACAGTTTCCGTAGAAACATTTGTTCGACTGTAATGGTAGAATGAAATCATTCAAGTTATTCTGGTTCTGATTATGTTATTGTCTAAAATCATTTTTTTTTCTTTTTCATCTTATTTGAAATAAAAAACAAACAGTAATTTTTTTTATAAGCTTTAACCTTGTTGGCAATAAATCTATTTAATTCTATTGATTACAAAAGCATACCTGATAAAAACATTTTGGTTTGAATTTTGAAACAATTGATTTTGTGTTAACAAATGTATGTATTTTACACACACTTTCATTTTTCTTTTTAGTAATTTCAACTATTTCTGCAAAAGTAGACCAAGTTTATGTAGATATTTAGTTCTATACTAAGAAATCTTTAATAAAAAGATATTAGATTAAATTCTAAAAAAGTATTATACTTTAATACTAATACAAATTTTATAAGCAATCCTTATATTTTTTTATTTCTTTAAAATTCATTAATACAATACAAGAGAAACATTTTTGATTCTATTATATCGAATATTTATTTAACAATTTAACTTCAATAGTTATGCTAACACTTAAATTCGATATAGTATCTTTATTGGTAGTATCTTTTGATATTGGTATTAGTATCGGTTAATATTTATTGGTAAAATAGTATCTTTTTACTTGGCATTTGATTTATATCGAAAAATTTTAGGGTTTATATTTGTGTGTAGACACATTGTAATATTTTGACTATGAATCTTAAATATCCAATTATTCTTTTCGTGGTTAAAGGATATCATATTCAAAAAGTCTTTGCATTTCTTGAAATTAGGTTAATTATTACTGCATCTAAATGAAAAGTAAATCTTCTTGAATACTCTAACTCACGATTGTCCTCAATTTCTAGAATACATCAGTTTCTCAAACAGTTGAAAACTTCATACAAATTCCTTTGAGTGCCATTAATCATTCACGGTGGCTGAGGCCATCTACCACTCTTTTCACTTGTAAAACTATTATAATTCAATATTCTCTGTTCAATTTGTTGAGTTGTAGTGTTTTATTATCCTTGAATAATGTCTTTTGATGATATTTTCAAATAAAATCAAAATCAGGAATGTGGTTATTCCAATTAGAAAATATCCGTCACTCACTTTAGCTTCCCTTGTTAAAATGTTGCAAAATAATGTTTAGAAATATAATAACTTAATTATTGAACTTATTTGTCTAAGGGTGTTATGATCAGTTAAATACGAAAATATAAATACATAAATTTTATAATTAATGCAAACATTTCGGACTGTATCAAATATAATTCATAAAAAAAAAATATTATGCATACAGATTACAACTTAAAGAAAGAAATACAGTATAATTTGAAAGTAGTATTTTTATGTATTACAAGTAATATAAAAAAAAATTAAAAGTCAATTCCTACTTTTTTTTTTTCACTTTTTTCACTATTGCAGAAAGTCCTTTATAAATAATTTTCATTCATTTTCTTAGGTTTGAAAAAATTCTCTCCCTCTCGCATACACACATCACATCTCACTAATTTATTCACATGTTTCATTTTCCATTTTGTTCCCTGCTTGACTCAGACTAGAGCCCATAATGAAAAAAGAATCTGAAAAAAAAAAATTTTCCCATGATCTACACGCTTCGCCACTGACGGTAATTATTCCTAAATTTATATCCCGCTAAATATCTTATATAAGAGAAAAAATTGTCTCTCATATAAAACTAAAATTAATTAATTAAATTTAATTAATGAATTAATATTTGAAAAACTTCATTAATATCAAGTGTCCTCCACTACCAAGTTTAAAAAATGTATTTGAACTTGAGTGGATGAATAAAAAGTATTTTATTGACGATTGAACATTTGAACAAGATATATATAGGGAGAGTGTGAACTAATAGTAGGAATTGAAGGCAATTTTTTGTATTATTATGCAGTTTTTTCCTACCGACTTTTACTTTACAAATGTTTATGTCTAACTCTTCACATCATGTTTGCAATACAAAAAATTCAATAAATAATGTACTTTCGAGTATATATTATGTCCATAATTAGGATAACTTAATACTCATTTATTGAAATTGGAACAAAATAGTTTCCAAAAACAAATTGCTAAAACTGTTTTTATATCTTGAAAATGAAAGAATAATGTCCAAACTGATTCCATTTGTTGTTTTTACTTCACATTAGTTGTCAAAAAAAATTTAGGTTATTAAAATTGTTTTAGAAAAAATATGGTTTGATTTTAACTTATTTGATGATGAAATTTGAAATTTGAAATTTTTGTAATTTATTTTTTTTTTTTATTTCTTAAAAGATTTTTAAATTAACTAAAAATGTTCTAAACAATATTTATATTCTGATACCATCTATGTTCTTTGATATTTATTTAACAAATTCATTAAATGAATGTTGGTATAAAGACTTCGAAACATTATGCCCAAGTTAAATATATTATATTTAATAGATTTGTTTAACAAGAAAAGTAAGCAATCACAGCTATGTATCCATGTTAGGGAAATAAAAGACGAAAGTTAAGGCAACAGCACTTTTAAAGAACTCAATTGTCTCTGTTAAATCTTAATCCTGAAAAGACCAGCCCCCATCATATGGTGTTTATACAAACATGGAAGCTCTAAAGCAGGGATGGGCAAACTACGGCCCACCGGAAGATTCTATCCGGCCGGCGAATAGAATTTTAGTTTGACGATCCGAGGCAAATTAAAAGAAATATATATTTATATATTATATATTCTTCTCCTCTTCTACTTTGATTAAATATTATTTTTTTTTTCTTCCTTTTTCTAATCTCCCGACGTTAAATGAAGTAAATGAAGCTTAAGAATTATGAAGATGGCTTGAAAAAACTGGAATTTGAGTTCGAAAGATTTCAAGATTTCAGTGTCATTCAAACAGAATTGGATATTTTTACCATGCCTTTGAACGTAAATTGTGAAGGAGTGAGGTCATATTTGCAGGTTGAATTAATTGAGTTGAAATCTAACAATCATCTCAAGCAGTTGTTTCTAAATATGCCAAAGTTAGAGTTTTACAAATCATTATCGAAAATTTCCGAAATTTAATATCTCACGCCCAGAAAATCAATGCTATGTTTGCTTCATCTTATATATGTGAACAACAGTTTCCAACTATGAACCTTAGAAAGAATTATATCAGAAGCAGACTGATAGATGAGCATTTAGCCTCGTTCCTTAGAATCAGTACATCTTAGTTCGAACTTCAATATAAGGAATTTTTTAAAAATGTAACTGCAATTTTATTCATCTCATTAACATATTTAAATTGTAATACTTGTATATTGTTTTTAAAATTTTAGAAAAATTTATCTTGGCCCCCCAAACTTTATTTTTTTTCGATTTTTGGCCCCGCGGCCGAAAAAGTTTGCCCATCCTTGCTCTAAAGTCTTTTTTTTTTTTTTTAATTTTATTCGAGTGTCCGTCAATCTAGGAACATAATTCACCTAAAACAGAAGTGTCAGTGCCCTCCTTTTAATAGCGTGGAGACTTGTCGAAAATAACATAAATCTAAAGCTTTAGTGAGATACAAATAATTTTTGTGGTCATGACTTATTTTCAATAATTCTTTGGATGAAAAAAAAAATAGTAAATATATATACATAATTATTTTAAAACTGTGGTAAAACACAAATGGGAATGATACACCAAAATAATTTATTTGAAGCAAAATTTTAAGTCCCATTAGACCAAGTCAAAATATTTTCAGGATGTTAGATTTCTTGCCTTCATTGTTGAATGATTTCTATGAAAACCCTTTTTTAAGGCCAATTTTAATATTCGATACTTT